TCTGTGAGGCACAAAAGGGTTCGATATGAACGTTATTGACTGCTAAAAACAAGTACCCCAGAAATGGTAGATTTTCCATTTCTGGAAGACTAACTCAAGCCTGGCTCTCCTTCATGACAGACATTTTTAGTTCCACCAGAAGGTGCAGAAAGGCAGAACGGCATGCTCCCTTGAGAGCATTTACCTGGTCTCTGATCCTTCAAAGGGTAATCAAAGTACCTTCATAAGTAACTTTAACTCACATGTGGCAGAAGAGTAAGGGCAAGTTTGTTTTTTCCTCTGCCACCTAACAGGTTATTAGGAGAGCGGCATTACAGATTTAGACTTTTCTCTCCTTTCCTGTTGACTGTACAGCCCTTATGAGCTCTTACCTCCCCTGAACAGAAGTGCTACTCAAAAACAAACAAACAAAAACAGACCAACAGGAACAGCAAGAATTTAAAAGCAGGTGTGTTATGAACAAAAGTATCCATCAACCTGTTACTCTAATACTTTTTTTTCCTCTACCCTTAGCTTTCATTCTGCTTTCATGCTGCATCATGTGAACTTGGGCACCAGTCCTACAGACTCGTAGAGCACATGGTAAGTCTCATTCCTAAGTAGCCATATGGTTTCCATGAAGGACAGCACTTTTAGACTCAGAAGTTTAAGTCAGGGGACATGCCTTATTTATCTGTAGCTCTCCAGACCACAGCGAGTCTAGCCTTGACCCAGCGTAAAAGAAAGAACAAATCCATAACCACTTGGTATAAGTTTCTCAGAGTGTAAAATGGTACTGGTCACACAATGGATACAATAGATCTTTATTTCTATATGCAAGTACTCCATACTCTATCATACTGGCAATGTTACTGTACACAATGATTCATTATTTAAGAATACAATTGTGAAAAATAAAGACAGGCAATAGTTTATGAGTATAATATACACATGTTAGCAGAAACAAAAACAAAACAGAAGGAGGCCTCCCACTGCCTTGTACCTTGAGTTGCTATTTACAGTGGTGCAAAGCGAGGCTAACGCTATTGTGCTGACTTGGAGCACTTACAATTGCTGTGTTGAGCAATTCTGGCACCCAAACGGTATCTCCAACACCTAGACAGTCTTCCTCAATACAGCTCTCCAGACTGGCAGCCACGAAGGGCCAAGCGGACTTCTTTTTGAGTTTGCCTTGCATAAGATGGGTTCCCAGAGAGTCTGTCAGACCAGCTTCACAGGTGCTTATCCCAACGCTGCAGAGCACTAGTACTAGTGTAAGCTGGACCCAATTATAGCATACTACTGATTGATTTCCACACAAGTGTCAGGAGGGATGTATAATGATCTGGAGAGAAGCTCCCCAAGTTTGCAGCTTCTCATATTCCCCTGTCTGCGTTGAGTCCTTCTGTTCTTTTGCACAGCCTTGTAGTTTGGAGGAACACACGCTGGTATCAACATGAGGGGCATTTTGTTTGAGATGCCTCTATTAAGATTTTATGCTCAGACTGAGGCACTGTGGTCTTCAAACGTGGAAAGAAGAGAGAGAGAAAAAAAACAAATCCAACTGTGCTAATTCTCCATAGGAAGAGAGATAAGTGTAGAAATAGAACCTGTTATCTGTTCACACACACATTCTGCTCCAGAACTGACCTTATGATATTCACCGCAAGAATCGCCTTTCCCTGTTTTGTTGCTCTTCCCCTTTTACAATTGAATAGGATGTGTGGTATTTCGGAGCTCTACTGCATCTTTTTCCTATGCCGTGCTCTCACTTTGTTTAAAATGACAAAAAGTAGCATGTTGAGAGTTACACATGAAGTAAATAAAACCCCATGAGCAACCTACATCTACTGCAATAGGTCAAAAACCATAACCACTCCATAACTCATGCTTTGTGCCAAGATGACAAGAAGCCTTGCACCTTGCAGATTTCCTTCCCTCTCCAAGAGAATCCAGCTCCCGGGAAAGCTGGATTGGTGGCTGTTTAAAAGCCTACACAGAACAAATTTAGTGAGTGTAATCCAGGTCCTAGCGAACAAGCATAAGGTGGGTTTTGTTACACTGATAGGTGGGAAGAAGTGACTTGCACAAACAGCCTCCATGAACAGCCAACAGCTGAATGAGCTTCCATCTCAACCACAGGCTTTGTCTTCTCATCACGGGACACAGCACAATTGCCTGGCCACTGATCTAGACCCACAGAGGTGACATAATCCAACCCATCCTTCTGTCCCCTTCTTGAGGGAAGATGTTTTTGGCAAAGCATAGATCTTTTTTCCCATGGAACAGGAGAAAGCTTCTGTCACTGAGAGGCATTGTGATATTTATTTTATGTGCTCTTGTAGGTCTCTGGGAGGATCCACACGCCCTCAACATCAAAAAGTTAATCAAAACAGAGTGCCCCACTCTAAACATATTTGTTGAGGGAAGGGTGGGCTTGAAGGGGCTCAAACAACTAAGCAGGGCATAGGCCCAGTGCATTGTTCTCTCAGGTCACCAATATTTTGGTTGCAGTGGCTGAGTTCAAACTACAGCACCTCTGTAAGCAACACTACTAAAGCAAAAGGAAAGGGTATAGCAATTTTTGCATGAACATTTGCTTAGAAACAGCTCTTCTCCCTTGCCCTACCCCTCCCACCAAATCTCTTCCAAAGTGTACTAAATTTTGCTTCTCTGGCTTATCTCTGACCGCACACACCAGCTCCCAAGAGCCATTACAGTCATTTCCTCTCTTATTCACATCTCCTCTCTTTGTAACTCACTCAGCCCCTTCCCTGCACATGTCTCTGTGCAGGTCTCTGGGACCAGTGGGATAAGGGGTTTTGTTTGTTTGTTTTTCCTCCTCCTTTTTTGTTTACTTTGATCTGAATCCTTAGGGCTGATTTCTGTTTCATACTCCACTAGCTTCAGGGAAAGTCAAAATCTGGACAAGAACTGCATACATTGTGCCAAGTCATGGCTGCACCAGAGACCGTGCATAAGTTAAACTGATGCAGAATTGCAGAGCTTCATGCCTGTACTGCCTCCACAGTGCAAAAGACATCCAAGGAAGTCAGGAGCATTTTTACAACTTAGGGCATTCTGCTTTCTTTTGAGGGCCTGCAGGCCTGCCAGCCTGCACCAGAGTGAACTGACACAGCTGAGAGTTTACGCCAGGGACTTCGGCTGCTGTATGCCTACAGGAATTCCAGGGAAGCCAGCATTACCATAGCTTTATGCTGGTAGACCTTGGAGCAGGACCTGGCCTGACTTTTCAAGGTGTACTATATATATTTTAGACGACCTGAAAGGAAGGCAGAGCTGTTGCCATATTTTTCTGATGCATCCCTGCACTGAACTCAAAATCAAGAGTTACTGCATTCAATTAGCTTGCTGGCTGTGTTACAAAGCATATAGCAAGGACTTCTAATACAGAGCTGCACTCCATCCTTAACTCAATCTACACAACATGCACTAAAGTCTCTATGCACGGGGGGGAACAGAAGCAGAATAAATGGAATTTCTCTCCCTTTGAGAAGGTGACATAGCTCCTGTACCATATTTGTAGGAGGGGAGGAAGAGAATAGGCAAGGGTGCCTCTAGCTACTGGTTTTTTTTTTTAACTGTTTTTTCTTCTTACTAGTTGTATAGAGAAAGAGTGAACTGATTAGAAGGAAAAGAAAAAAAAAAAAAGGAAATCCAGTGGGTAATTGCAATAAAGCATGCTATTGTGGCTGCTCATGGACCTACTAATGGCCCTGGAAAAGCCATACGACTTTTGTGGTGAAAATACAAAACAGCAAAGAAAAAAAATGCAGCAATCTCATACGAAGAGTGTGAAATCCTCAGAGCCTTGAAACACAAACACTTCCTATTAAAAAGGGCTTCTGGGCACTCCCTTGACGAGCAGGTCTAGGCTCGGAGTCACTGCCGACCTCCCTACACCAGGGGAGGGAGCTCAAACACTGGCACTACCACTTTGCCAGGTTTCCATGCCTGCTTTCCTCCCATCCAGAAACGTAAGCTTTCTTTTCAAAAGCACCACCGTGGCCTAGATGGGCAAGCGCCCTTAGGAGATGAGAAAGTCTGTGGCATACAAGAGGTCTACGCCAGCCCTTTCTGAAGGGTCAGCACTAGAATCTCACACAAGGGCACAGGGTCCATTTAGACAGACTCAGTACTGCAGATCAGTATAAATACAAGATTTTTAGTAAGTACTGTTTTCATTTGAAGCTGAAGGATGTTTGCAGTCTTGCTTTGATTCCTTCTCTGGTATCACGAGATTAGCTTTCATTTTAGAAAAAAAGATCTTAAGATCATTACCTAATCATAGGACTTCAGGTGCTGGGGCTTTCTGAAAAAAGCACACTATGTATCACAAGGCATGTATTGATCTCAGCAGCAAGCTAAACTTGAAGCCTGTCTGAAAGATCTCAGTTCCCCCCAGTCCCTGCAGGCACCACAGATCGCTCCAAGCTCTTGCCTAGAAGACCATGTGCTGAAGCGTGAGCACAGCTCATTACTTTAGCCACCTCTGAAGATCTGAGCAGGATATACAGTCACAGCTGCCTGTAGCGTAACATGACCAAGGTTAATTTTTTGCTTCTAAGCGCCATGGAGGGCTGACCCTGGGAATCCTGGCACACAACCACGGTGCCTTGTGTTATCCCTGCTGAGGAAGCCTGCAATGGGAACAGATCGGATCCGCGTGCTCCTCTCCTAGTTGCGATCACTGACTAGATAGATAATCCCTTCATGGGCTGCTGCTCTACAATTGCAGTGCAGCAACCAATCCAATCCGAGAGTCAGAACCAGGCCCAGGAGGATAATTCCCCTCCTACTACCCTACAACGTGGTAAAATCTACTTGTTTCCATAGAAACAAATCAGTTTGATGTCCACACAGCCCCTGCATCCCTCACTGCCATATATCAGCCTCAAGCTGCTGAGGCTGAGAGATTTAAGCAAGCGTCTACAGCTAGAGGTCAAGAGACTGCAGGAGAAACAGGAGGAATTCCAGGCACATTAAACCCATGATCTCACCTGAAATGCCACTTATTTCGGCCGATCTCTGCTGCAAGAGAATTAACCAGCAACATCCTTTCCCTCCTCCATTTTGAGGGTTGACTTATCTGCCAGATCTCTCCCTGCAGATGGGTTAGTCCTGCATACACAAGGACATGAAACACAGATGGGAAAGGCATACAGGACACTCCACCACCTCAAATGCACTTGTGAGCCAATTTCCTCTTTGTATTTTTGCAGATAACAACTGTAAAGGGATTTTCTTGTTTGAAGCTCTGCATTTTATTGAGGAGGATTATTTAGAGAGTGGTACAGCCTGCAGTGTAATGCCTGGTCTCAAAAAGTCACTGCCCATTATAGCAAATGCCGCATTGACTCTAGGCTGCAGCACTGGCAAAGGCAAGAGTCTTGAGACTAGAAAATGCAGCACTGCTGCTGTGCAGCTTCCTCTGGGATCTCTGGAGAAATACAAAGTGAAGTCCTGGATCTGGCTTGCTGCCTTGGGATGTTCAAGGTAAAGAAAAATAGAGCACTGATTCTACACGACAATATCAGGAACTCAAGGGAATAAACAGCCCAGCATATTCTGAATGGATGTAGCAGCAAGGATTACACATTTGTGCAAAATGCAACTTTGATTTCAAGGCTGGCAAACCTAGAAGGGAAAACAAAGCTGGTCTCACTTTAGGGAATCTGCATGTTCAACATGATTAAAAACAAACAAACAAAGCATCAGACCCAGGCAGTGATACCAGGATTCAAGCAAATAACGACTGCAGCGCTGCCTGGGTCCAGAGGCCTCAAGAACCACAGTTACAGGAAGTACTGCACTAGCATGATGAATTCCCCACCCTAGAAGCTGTAAGGCCCTTCTGTCTGCCAGGCTGATTTTTCACCATTATAGCATGAGAACATGTTTTCCTTTTACTCTCACTGAAAAACATACACACGGGAGAAGCCACCATGTACAGTTTATTCTACTACATACCTTAGCCTGCAGGGCTTTATCTCCAGTATCTGCAACTTCCAGACAATAGTCTCAAAGATGACGATATCAGGCACCAGCAAAACCCTAGAATATCAAATTAACCCCATCCTGACGGCAGTAGTGAAGAGATCCGGTTTTTATGGCCATAAAGGTAAGTCCCTGACCCAGCATCTTTGCTCGTCTCCTCCTCAAGCTGCACCGAGCTGTCATAACTCTGCAGTAACACTGCTCTGCTTTGGCACAAACAAACCTACTGACAAATCTTGGCTTTGTCATAACAGAAGAAAGTCGCAGCCCTGCAAAACATGACCTGTACAGCACCTTCAACTTGAGGGAGAGGAGAAAACAAAAGGATAAGCTGTACAATAAAACTCTGGAGAGGAAAGACTGATGGGAAAGCACAGCCACAATAACACACTAGGATTAACGTGTGCTAAGACTGCTGAGCAACGGGCTGACCTTGCTATTTCCCACCACCAGTGTCCCAATTTGTTCTAGCTCTCTGGAGTGAGGCTGCAGCTAAGTGTAGACTCAAAGCTGTCCTGCAATGAAGTCTCTCCTATGTCAAGGGATATCAATACATCGTGCAGATATGACTAATATTCAAGGCATTCATCACATCAAGACTCAACTTTGGCAAAACTGCACTTTCCAGCCCCTCATAAACAGGAGCTTGCTTCTTGGAACCTCTAAGACACTGGATAAAGAGGGGTTTTTAACCCCTCTTTTTTGCCATTCCCTCCTTTAGAGGGGGAAACCTAGTATAATGGCAGACTCTTAAGTTACCAGAGACTCGTGGCTAAGTGGTATCTTAGACTTCTCATCAAAACTCCCTTAACTCTGGAGCCCTCATATGTGCTGCAAGACCTAAAAGTGGAACAAACATGGCTCGAGGCACGTTCCATCACTGCAGTATGACACTTCCTCTGCTCCCAGACAGCAGGGAGTGCTAGGAAAAGAGACAGTCTCCCTGGATCCTGAATGCCTTTACAGGGGCAACACAGAACTGAAAGGGTCTATTGGAAAAGGCAGAATCACTTTGATGAGCTCAGTAATAAGAACCTAAAGGGAAGCTGTATGAGGCAGGGGCAGAGATCTCAAGCCATGATGCGCTATCAGTGGCTAGACATGGATGGCAGGTTTTATAAAACTGAATCTATGTACTCTAACAATTTATCTTGCATCAGAGGTAAGAGGTGGAGTACACTGTGGACAGCAAGGTAGACTGATTCCCTATAAACAGTCCAGGCAGGAAGGGCAGAGTTCTGCAGGGTAACGAGGCCATGCAACGCTCAAGCATCCTG